TAAAATACATTGATGTAAAAATTACGAATGAGAAAATTTGGGTTGAGTGATCCACTCAAAACAGAGACGGAAAGTCTACCAAACTTAGGAACATGTTTTCATTCACAAGAAGAGATCTTGTGTTTTTGTACTATTGACGATACTCATTTTGTAGGAATGATCGGTTGCTCGATAGGATCCGGTTGCAGGACTGAGGCTAGGTTTGTTAAAAATCACATCTACTCCCCCAGTTTCTTTGAGAGACTGAGATAACATGGCAAGGCCTCTAGCAGTTGCTTGTGCTCTAGCGAGTATTGCTTCAGCCTCACCTGAGGAACATTAACAAAGGGTAATATAGGAGTAAGTATGAGTAGTCATCAGTATACAGTAAAAGAATAAGAAGATGGAACTAAAAATTATTCTAATGAACCTAACTAACAATAGACACCACATGTTACTCTGAAGTATCTTACCCTGTGCTCGGTTAACTTGATCCATCTTTGCAGCTTCAGATGCCAAGATTACAGAACTTTTCTTACCATCAGCAATATTGATATGAGCTTGCCTTTCTCCTGTTATATTAGTAAAGCAAAAATGTTAAGCAGACTTCTTGTTTTTCGAATGCAAAATGGAAAACCTCACACAAAAACAATAGTAAGTAGCTTTTAGCCAAGAATAGTAAACGCATTATGAGTTGTAGTCAAAGCACTGTTCAATCTTAGAATACGACTTTTGAAGGACATGTCTCAGCATTATATTACCTTCAGACTCAAGAATCTGGGCTCTCTTTTTACATTCAGCTTCAGCTTGCATCTCCATAGCAACTCTCACTCCATGAGGGCGCATAATATCCCCTGAAGATACACGAATTAGAAATAAGCAGAAAAGGATATGTAGCTAATCGCGAGAAAAGAAAAAACACAAAACAACTCACTTATCTCATAACGAAGACACTGAAGACCTCAGTCTCTTGCAGCAACATTGATGGCTTGCAGCAACATTGATGGCTTCCTACAAGAATGTAAAATCCGCCTCAAAAATCCATCACATGTTTTCTTCTTCAACGTGTATATTTCTTTCCTCTAAGCTCTCTTAGTTATTTGAGAAAGAGAGGCAACACAGCTTGGGATATTGAACATATACAGCATGAGTAAATCCCTTAGCAGAAATCTAAAATCTTCTTATCTAACTTAAGCAGAATCCAAAAATCATTGCCATATGTGAATTATATGTTACAGCTAAACATCTCAAGTTCTATTGAGATTAAATACAACAAAGAAATTTAATCAAGCTAACATATGAATTATGAAATGGAACTGGAGTATAGTGAGTCATTGAAGGGAACGAACCACAAACTTCTCGTTGAGAGTATCTCTTTCCTCAAAGGTCTTATCAAGAGTGATCTTACCAAGCTCACTACGCATATTATTCTGAGCCAGCTGCACAACAGCATAGATAGGACTATCAACTCCATAAGAAGCTAACTTAGGATCCACTATCTGCAACAACAACAAAAAACAACAAAAGTTCCAAATCAAAACTTAAAAAAGTAAACCAATTAAATCAAACGCAAATGAAGTGGTAGAAGAAGATGACCTTGACATAGAGAACGCCATCGATATGGATACTAACGTTATATTTAGTAATCGCAGTCTGATTAGGGATCGGAATCGCTTCTTCCTTGAGAGAATGAACATAAGCAATCCGATCAACGAACGGAATCAGGAAATGAATCCCCGACGGCAATGTCTTGGCGAATTTTCCGAATCGCTCAATCACATACGCTTTCTTCTCCGGTACGATTCGTACTCCCCAGTTAACCGGCGGAGTTAACTGAAAGCTACAAAAACATCATATATATAAGTAAATCCCTAATGTTCCTACATCGTTCGAAAAGCGTAGACGAAAAATAAGCATAAGCTGAGAAAACCTGTTGGAAGGATAGCCGGCGGAGGTGAAGTGGCGGAAGGTTGAGGCTGCGGCGGTGGGAGATTGACGGAGGGGAGCAACGGATCTCAAGGCGGTAACGGAAGTTCTTCTTGCAAGAGGCATGGATTTTATTTGTAGCTAATGTAGCTGTGAATAGATTTGAGAAAACTTTGGCACTTTATGGGTTTTTTATATAGCAGTAGGTTAGTCGATGGCTTCTAAGTGACGCTTAAACAAAGTCTTTAGTATATTCGGATTCAGTTTAGGAAATCCCTAGAGTATTGATCAAGCAAAAATATTTAAAACTATATTGCTAACGAAAATTTACATATCTTAGCAATATTTACAATTCGTTTGGTACATAAATCTTTATAATATCTACGATTTAAAGAAACAATATTTTTGAGTAGTTATTATATAGAGATTCTTCATGGCCAANTATTGCTAACGAAAATTTACATATCTTAGCAATATTTACAATTCGTTTGGTACATAAATCTTTATAATATCTACGATTTAAAGAAACAATATTTTTGAGTAGTTATTATATAGAGATTCTTCATGGCCAAGCTAAACGATTTAATGCATTCTTAAGGATTTTAAATAATAGTCAGATATTACTTTTATGCATAAAATCATATAGTTAAACAGCTCGTAACGAATTTAAAATATACCATCGGAATCAAATTTTAAAGTGTCCGTGAGTTGTTAGTCAAAAACATTAAAAATAATTATTTATTAAATGTTTTCTAATTTAAATCTGAATTTTTAGAATATACAATAAGAATAAGATATTATCAAAAATATTGTTGATAGCATTTTTGCGATTTCACTAATATGTAAATGATATTAAAAAATATAGGTAGGGGTTGGATTTTTCGGGTTTTGGTGGCAAACAGTTCCCCTATTGTTATGGTTAAGTTTTAGGAATGTTGGGGTATAGATTTACATAATACTATAGTTAATGTTACCGAGTCGGTTTATTCCTTTTCATCTATTACACACTATTAATTTTGTTTCTCTGACATCTAAAATATTTAATGCGTATTTAATGAATTAAACAGAGAAAAGATCGCAAAAGGATGTTCTTTGAATCGAGAAAACACAAAAGGTAAGTATTTAAATGGATTTCCTTTTTAGTAGTGTCGATGGTAAAAATAAATCAAAAAACAAAATCTTAAAAAATCAACCAATAGAATTGCTAGAATTCTTCTGAGAAGGGTTGTGTGAGTGCCACGTGTCAAAGTGACTTCTCTTCTAATGTACAGGGGGATTGGATGTTAAGAATGTTAACTTTTTCATCTTAATTAACTGAGCTACATATCTTCTCCGTGATCTTATGATTTCTACGTTCAGTATAATGATATTGTTGTTATGATAGTATATCAATTAGCTGGAGTAGCTCAGTTGGTTAGAGCGTGTGGCTGTTAACCACAAGGTCAGAGGTTCGACCCCTCTCTCTAGCGTTTTTAATTTTTTCTTTTCTTTTTAAGACCATTTTACAAGTCCACTTAAGAGTTAACTGGTTCCATTGTTATTTGTTAGAGTAGAAAACTGCCGGCATATGGTCCTGACATTCCGTTTAGGTTCCATTCGTTATTCGTTTGAGTGGAAGGTACAGTAAAAACTCTTTGAATTATAAAATTTTATTAATTAAATAATTCTTTCACAAAAATTGTTTTGATATGAAAAAAAAAATATATATATATTTGATGATATTTCAGGTATATGCAGAGAATAAACTAACTTATAAAAGGAGATATATCCTATGGATAAATTATTTTTTCCAAGTATGTAAATGGATTGTAAGAAGGAACATATAAATAAGTGTGTGGATATTCATAAACAACGTGACTTAATTTGGTATAACATGTGAACTGAATCTGAAATGTGTTGACGTCTCAAGTATGTTTTCTTACCACTCAATCAAGGTCTCATATGATTTTATAGTATATATATAGTGTGTAGATCATATATATTGGAAATGTATATATATGTTACGTATAAATGAGAAAATAACATTAAATTTTTTAATGTATTAAAGAAATTAAAATTTTATTTATTGTGAATAAAAACAAACTATACAATATTTATATAAACTTCACATACCTTAAATTATTGATTTATGTTTATAGTTATATATGTACATAAGACTGTTACAATTTTATTATCTTATCGCTTTTTCTTTTTTTTTTTTTTTTTTTTTTTTTTGTAACATCTTATCGCTTTTTCATATTTTATATTTTATACTATTCCAGTCTAAGACTAGCAGATTTTATGAATTTATTATATTTAATAATTTACCGAGTATTATTTTATTGAATTTCTACTGTAATTTTAATTGGTTTACAAAAATTGAATGAAACAGCAATGAGCATTTCGTTGTTTACCTGAATAAGTTAAAACTTAGAAGCCTACAAATTTATCCATTAAGAGAATATAAATATATTGAATCTATCCAATTTTAGATTGTATTGGTTAGCGTTGTAAAACTTTGTGAGCTTAAAGTTTTATAGATCAATACTGTATTTAGCAAATATAAGATTATATTTTCTTTAATTATTTCTACTAAATGTTAAACTTTTACATTCTATTAAATTATTCAGTTTTCAATGTATTAGAGATATATGCTCTAAATTTTAAATTCATTTTATATGCAATTTTAAAAATGAGACGAAAATACTTTGAAAGAAAAAATATTTTATTTTTAAAGAAAACAAATAAATATTTATAAATGTATATAGAAGCATTGATTTTTTATATTAAGGAGATTATATATTTGTATAAGGTTGAATCAAATTCATTCTTAATTTTTTATCAAATTCTGTCATATTTTAAGTTGGTATAGTTTGAAAACTTAAATTTTATCTTTTTTTTTTATAACACCGACAAAGATACATAGTTCGATAGAGTAAACAATGATGATAGGCTAATAACAAAGAGATGAGATGTCAGTAGACACCATCATGGGAAAAGAAAATTAGCTTACCAATTCCCTTTGTTACTGGGACTCCAAAACGAGTAGATGGTAGAGCCACGATGGAGTATTCCGAGCGATATACGACTGGTGGCGCCGATCCTGAGTGACACTAAGAGCGATGGCCGCTGCAGCTTCATTTCGATCCGGAAGAACATGATCCAGACTCCATGATTCAATTCTTGTCAGAAGTCAAAGGATGTTGTGACGAATGTGGCTGAGGCAGATGTGTTCATTTGGATTCGTTAAAGCGTCGTGTAAGCACTCAGAAGAAGTCTCCAGAATAATATTTGAGAAACGTAAGTTGTGCAAGCATTCTACTTAAATTTTATCAATTTATTATATATTAACTAAAATAGTTCCTTCGTATTTAAAATTTGTGTTTAGTTAAACTCTATTAATTTGGCTATCTTATAGTTAAGGCTGTTTAATATCATGTGCAATTGGAACAGTCGAACATAATCCTAATATAAATATGAAAAAGTTTAGAATATTTTAAAATAAATATATAATCATATTCTAAAATTTTTAAATCCTCTATATACTACTAAGTTTATACCTTAAATTTTCAAAAGAAACATCTAACATATATATATATATATATATATATATTAGCTTTTAAAACTACTTTATGACAACATTAGTATGCCGTTATATTTTTTAACCATGGCCTAGAAATAATAAAAGGTGTTCAAAAAAAGGCCTAGAAATAGTCCGAGACGTCGCTGCTTATAGTCAAGAATCCAACCCTAATTCCACATAGTGTTAAGGTCTCTTTCATCGTTCATTTTTCTAATAAGCTCCTCTCATCAACTTGAAAGGGCAAAAGACAAAAAAGCATAGACACAAGAAGGGATAACGAACATCTAGATGTAGTGTTCATAAAAACATGCCCACATGGTGTTGGGTATGCACTTAGACCCACACTCCTCTCACCTTCTTTGCTCCAACCTTTCCTTTAATCAGTTTATGTCTCAGTCTCCCTAAGATACCGAATCTTTTGACTACTATTTTATGCAAATTGTTCTTGAGTCTTAGTCATAGTCAAGTGTCTAAACACTGGACCAGATTTATCCGCCAACACTAACTCTAAATCCGTTTAACTGTCACGTTCATTAAGATAATTACATGGTATAATTTTGACTGTCATCCTATATTTTTGCTCTTTCAGTTCAAACGTCAAAACATGTTTTACTACCAACAATGAGTTGGTCTAGTGTCTTAAACTATTTGGTTATAGAAAACGTAGAGATTTTGGAGGTCACATATTGGATTTACATTAGAAAAGATTTACTCTCCTACTCCAATCCCCTATATATTAAAAGAGAAACATTTAAAAAATTGTAACCTCAATTTTGTAATAATTAAAAGAGACCCCATGCTTAGGTGTCATTCAATTATGTAGTCAATTACATTCAATTGAAAAATAAGTAAGTCCATATTTTAAGAAATATTTGAAAAATTGTAACCTCAATTTTGTAATAATTAAAAGAGACCCCATGCTTAGGTGTCATTCAATTAGGTAGTTAATTACATTCAATTGAAAAATAAGTAAGTCCATATTTTAATTTTATATGTCGCTAGATACATTGGTCAAACTATATGATATGATTATATGATATTTATGACAGAAGCATTTATGATTGTTCCGCTAAATATAGTTACTATTTTATTTTCTTTCCTTAAATAAAACCTACGGAATTACCATAAATGACTAACATATATATATAACAATTAATGATTCTAATAATAAATATTTGATAACAATTTATATCTCCTCCATCATTTTTCCTTTAATTTTATACTAGGAGAAGACCCGCGCCTTGCGCGGAACGAAATTGCTATTTTCATTATGTTTTGGATAATGAAACAATAGTTCGGTTTTATTTGGATTGGGATGTTCAATTCGAATATCGATTTGTTTTGGTTCGGTTCTATTTTTTTGGTTTTTGGTATTTCGGTCAGTGTGTTTCAAAATAAAAAAAGTATTTAGGTTAGTAAAAATAACTACTATTCTAAATCTAATTTACTTCGGTTTGGTTCAGTTTATATACCGTCGGTTTTTGTTTTATTGGATTTTTATACCAAAAAGCATTAATATTTAGTTTGAGATCATATCATATATTATACGAATTTAGAGTCATGT